ACAGTCTAATTTTAGGACCTAGTGAGCAAAATCCAGATTTTCTAATGGTCCTTGAGGCTATCTTACTAGATTTTCCTCTGGTGTGATGTATGCTCAGAGTGATTTCCCTTCCCCAAATCTGCTCATCTGTTGTGAATCTTAAAGACCCACTCCGATGAAAATGCAGGCCCACTTTGAAAAGTAGAAAGGGCGATCGTGGAACAAGCGTGTACGTTACCGGATTGCAATGCACTTAAGAAAACTAATTATGATATTAACTTTCATCATGTCCCCAAAGACACTAGTGTTTGAGAGCTGAATAGCTTCTGGGTTACCTGCTACTTCACCGACCACGGCAATGCTAGGCTGCAAGCTAACATGAAGACGAGTGTGCAGAGCAGCGCTGTCTCCGCCCACGACTCAAAGGCGAATTGCTAATGAGCTACTGGGGCTCTGCAGAAGAAAAACCCTTGAAAACAACACGTAACGTGATTTTGGCTAAAAACTTCATAATCACAATTTAAAGACCACTGAGAACACTTTAAATAGTAAAAAAAAAACAACAACAACAAAAAAAAAATCAGAGTGGGACTTTAAAAATGTTCGATATTTTCACATCTTGTTGCGTGAGGACAGGCAAGTATGCGCTCTGTCAAGGGGCAACTGATAGACCTGCGCAAAGCAAGCTAAAAGCTAAAAGAAATGCGAACTGGATGAGACAGTTTGTACGTGAAACTGAACTTCTGAAAGAGTGAAACTAACATACCTGGATAATGTGGATAAGGATCAATTGTCTCTGTCGTCTCGATTGGGAAGAAACTGACCTGCACATGTCCTATAGTGTTTGCACTTTAAATTGAACAGCATGGATGAGCTGCCAGGAGGCCAGGTATTAAACAAAGCCTTGACAGATGAAAAAAAGACCTCAAACTTTACTATCATTACATCTCTATCTCTGTTTGTCTCCATTATAAACCAGTTTTTAAAATGCATTATGCATTTCTAAAACCAGCCTGTCATTAGTTCATCAAAACGTACAAGAAAGTAGGATGTTTGGAGATGAAAACAGGGAAAGGGAGCAGATTCATGTTGTAAGATTATGCATGCCTAAAAAGAAGCTCAGAAGAAAAACAATGAGTGTTGAGATGCGATGCTACAGTATTTTTGTTTCAGATGATAGGCTTATTAATCACACTAATGAATCATGAAACAGTTTAGCAAAAAAAGGGGGGAACCGGGGGTAAACAAGTCTCGATGAAGAGCCAAGGATAAGACACAAAAAAAGAGAAGAAGAAGAAGGGAAACTGTGTGGGACGAGTTGTTGTGACACAGTAAAAAAATCCAGCCTTTCAATTTACATCTCTTTGTTAGCTCCGTCTTAATCGCCTTGTTTGCTTGTTTGTTTGTTTGTTTGCCTTCTTCATTTGATGACGTGCTTTATAATATGGTAAAAAGCTAGTTGTGCCTCTAAGTAATTACACTGTAATTGATGAGCTAATAGACGTGTAAATTATGCAGCAGTGTGTCGGCAGAATAGAAAGAGTGGAGTGTGTTGTATAATTACAAACTCCAGCTGCCATGCTGCCGTACAGGAGTCATAAATTAAGCGCACAAAATTTGAATAACTCAGATTGGAGCAGGTTTTTTTTTTTTTTTTTTTTCTTGCTTTGCGCTGCACCTTATGGCGATGATAGTCCATGTGTTTTCTATATGCTGGATGTGTCTTTTGCAAACACTCTGCTCACCTTTACAAGGTGCCGAACCATGTGGTGCAGCATGGTTTGGGTGATCAAGCATGTGGTTGTCATGGGGAAGGAGTTCAATTCCCAGTGGGGTCACAAAAATGCACTCACATTACTGTAAGGGTCTTTGGGTAGAGCCATCTGCAAACAGCATGGAGGCCTATTTTACTGCACTATACTTGCTGCAATAGCATGTTTTAGGATCCTTTTCAATAGTGTTTGCGCACAACGATGCTTTCACTCTAAATCACTCCTGTTTTTTTCATGATCTACAGTCACACGTTATCACTAGATTCACTTTTGCAGTGTTATTCAGGAACAGCTTGAGGCATGTTTAAGAGGCCACAAAATTATTGAAGCAATTCATCTTGTTTCTGCACACAAACCTACTAGAAACTCACATTATTTTTTTTTTCCTTTTCACACTAAGGCAATTTTTCTCTTGAAGAACCAGGCTACAGTTTTTATTAACAATATTCAAAGCTTCGACCTGTTGGTAGCATTTAAAAAAAGATGCATGATGATAGCTGTGGCATCGCAGGAGTCATCAGTACAGGCTGACAGCTTGTAGAGCTTTCGTGCTATCTGTTACTCCTACTGTCCCGGTCCTCCTCTGTGCTCCTGTACGTAATTACAGCGGTTAATCTTCGGCCTCTCCCCTGTCTCCTGCCCACTCTCTGCCTCCCTTATTAGCCCTCTCTTGCCCACCTGAGATTTTTTTTGTCTTCCTCCTCTCTGATTTTTTTCCCCTCCTTGCAGCAGAGTAGTCCAATCAGAGTTGCCATTGTTTATTGTGATAAGTTGGGATAATGAACAAATGACCTGCCACCTGGAGCACTTAGAGCCTGGTGTTAAACTCGGGTTATAAAAACCTCTTCCAGCTCTATTGATTTACTGGCAACATTTGATTGTACCCACGGGGCAGAAGGGGGGCTGCAAGGCTGCACAGAGCTCTTACTGTTTTACAGTCCTTATTACACCAAACAAATAAATCTCCTGACCATTAATTCACTGCCTGCGCCCTCACTCTGCAGACTGATAGGCCAAAAATCAGAACAGATTCAGGGCTGCATGGCCAACTCAGCCAGATAACTAGGTAGTTGGAGGCGATGTTTCTTCTCTATGTGCCCCCTTCAGGATTGGATTAGGAGACCACAGACAACTTTGAGTGTTCTCGGAAGATTTTATGACCGCTCTGGACAAATACAGGAGGAAATGATTTCAGTTGGGCTGTCCTGTTTTTGCAAACAACAGTCATTATTTCAATATCCTGTAAGGCTCTTTTATGGTGCCCCTGTGGTAATTTTTTCTTTTTTTTTTTCTTTCAAAAGGACGATGTGGTACTTCTTAGTTAACAAAAGTCAACCATAAAGAGAGTCAGACCAGACCAGTTTGATTTTAACAACAGAGGGCAACTGTAAACACTCAGGGGGCCCGCCAAATGGAACTGAGAGGACTTTAGCACTAAAGGCTAAATTAGCGATACATTCAGACTGGACGGTAATTCGAGAATGAGGCAATCCTCTTGTAAAACATTAATAAAAGGCTGTCCAATAAAATCTGCTCCCCCAATTAATGATTCTAACCTTAGTGTTTGTTGCAGGTTGATGAGGATCTTGCCTCATCTGCTCTGCGAAAAGAAAAAAAAAAAAGAATACCACAGACTGTAGCGCTGCTGTAAAATGGGTGATGTTAATAATTTATAGAAAGCAGACATATTCGTGCACCTTTAGACTCATTTCCCTCTCTTTTTTAAACACACAAACTGTACATACTGTACAACCTCAACACAACCCCTCTAGACCTCAAAGGGTACAGCACCGTGCCAGAATGATGAATAAACTGCAACATCAGAAGATGAAAGATTCTCTGATTAGTCCTTGCCAACATGTTTACCATAGCTTGAATCACTACCATACCCACTGATTGTACACTTATGTAACGCAGGTTCAAATGCACTTTCCGTCCTACCCACTGGTTTCCCTGTGGAAACTGGGGCATAATTGCGAGCATATGTGCAACAGACAGACAGACACACACTCACACACACTCAAGTGGAGAATCCTCAGAGTGATGTCACCTTCAAACGAAAGCGCAAAAAAGCTGCCAAAACCATGCGAAACTCAACCACTGGCTCAGATTAAAAAAAAAGCTCACAAACGCACTTAAATAAACACATTCGCAAACACACATGAATGCGTTTATCTCGGCGCACACGTAGCCTTCAAATCCAGGAAGCAGACCCATTCAGTTCTGATTTCTTCATCATCCAACAGAGAGAGCTGTGCTGCAGGAAAGAGACGCCTGCTTATCATGCAGGACTCAGCGGCCACAACATGAAGGTGGCTTTGAAGACTTAAGCTTCACCGGATACACACAGGCTTCCACACCTGGAAGGTATAGGAGATGCTGGCTCACAGATATACCTCTGACTCCAACTGAAGGATAAATCTTTTTTTTCCTCCCTTGTGGCCAAACATGGCATGTAAATATTCATACACATACATCAGTCCAGTTATGATCAGTGCAAACATTTAGAGACAGCATAATCCATCTAAACCTTTCAGGGAACTCAGACAGAATCAAAAGTAGCAGAAGTAGGTCTCCTTTGCCTCTGCCTGCACTACACACCACTTGGGATTGCTGCCATTATGATGTGCTTAGTCAGGGCACTCTAGTCACTGGATAAAAGACATGACCACCAGACAGCTAACCAGCTAATCGGACGAATACCCTGTTAATCTGACAGGCCATGTTGAATAATGAATATGTACATTATCACAGAGGGGGGTATTGCAGGGGACGCAGGGGATCGCTCGCCATGTGGAAGGAAAAGGTGGACATGGCATGTCTCTTATCAGCGTGATTTCTAATGAGCTAATTCGCAGGTGAGCATGGGTAATTATGACAAAGGTGGGGCCATATCTTGATGAAGAACACACTGTACTTTTGAATTTACACGAGATAACGCTTTGAGTGCAGAGCTCGTAACATTAAATGTTAAAAAAAAAAGGCAACCTCTAATCGATGTGTGCGTTTGTGTAGGTGCATATGTTCAGGTCATTAATGCAGCTCTGAACCTGCCAACTGTCTAATCACCAATCTAGAACAATATGACCCATGAATGATAAATGAAAGCATGCATGTCACCGTGACAAAGGACCTCGTCTTATCAGCTGTAGCTGCTGTGAACGACTCTCCATTTTTCTGTGATTTACATCAGCTGTTTTGAAAGCAGAGACTGAAATTAAACACATATTTATGTGTGTATTTGTCATTATTTGAAAATGTTCAAAGCTCAGAAAACAACAAGGCATGTAACAGCCTCAGTTTTGACTGACAGGTGAACACAAGACAGCAAGGTGTCTATATCCCATACCTATTTTCATACATTTCTTTCGTATCCCGTTGCCCCTTCCCCCGCTGCTTTAGCCCTCATTTCATTCCATTTCCTACTGGGAGTCAGGCCCTGCCTTACCTTTCAACCACAACACACTACCTGTCACCGTTCAGAACACACACACACACATCCCATAGTGTGGTGCAAGAGGCATGTGACATCTGTTCTCTCTCCGGTGGGCTCCTCATGTCCTCGACCTCATCCACATCGTTTCTGAGCACCTGGGAGGAAAAACGAGGAAGTGGTGAGCTGGGGTGAGTTGTGGGGGGTGTTGTATGACAAGGGGACATAGTAAAGAAAAAGGGGATGAAAGGAAATAGGTCTTGTGTGTGTGTGTGTGTGTTTGTTAGAAGGAGTGCAGTCAACCACATCATCAGTCAGGACTGCCACCATCCTTCCCTCCACCATCACTAACTTTTCCCTCCCTGACCTTGACCTGAGTTTGGTGCTTCTTGACAGCGCAGGTCCTTGTTGACACCAGCTGTGCCTACACACTGTGCCAGATGCACACAACGTCAACTACTAGGAGGTGGAAGTGACACTATGTGCTATACTGTACACGTACGGTGAAGAATGGTGGTTCAGCTCGGTGACTTCAGTGCTAAAGATAGCCTGATATTAGGTTGGAGAAAAAAAAAAAAGAGAGGGACCGCTCTGCAGACTTTTAGCGGTTTGAAAAGCAGGGACATGAAAAGCCACGCTCAAAGACATCAGAGCAGGGAAAGTAAATGCACCCGCCCAAATAGCTATGGTGGTGCCCTCTAGCAACATGACTGCTTGAGTCATACTGCTTAGCAGAAAGCAGCAGCCATTATGGTTCACCGCTGAGGCCTGAGCAGATTGTCTTCAGCTGCAGGTCCAGGAATGACTGCTAGGAGCTGGCTTTGAGAACATCCTGTACAAAGAGATTAATAAAGTGCAATAACATTGTTCCTCCAAATCCTCTTGTCAGGTTTGCCTTTATGACTTTCCCACCTCCATACCTCCATATAGGAGTGTCAACCAAACACGTCATTTATAATAATCCAAAAAGCAGAGGCTTGCTTAAAGTTAGCAAGAGCTTAATATTTGTGTGTTTATGAAGGATTTAAGACCAACTCTGATGAAAATCATGTTTTTCTTGTGTTTTTATTTGCTCACCTGGCATTTTTCTGATGCTACAAGACATACCAAGAGAAAACTAAATGTGAAATTGCTTTTCTGAGTATTTCTTCATTCAAATCTTTGTGAATCTCTGGCAGACCCAAACAGCAGGTTCAGAAACAGTGAGATTTCATACGTAGCAAATCCAAGCTCCACCCACACTCTGCATATAGAGGAGAAATACTGAGGACGATCACGGAACAAGTGTGTGCGTTAGCGGATTGCAATGCTCGTAAGAAAGCTAATTATGATATTAACTTTTACCACTTCTACTACACCGGCATGTCAGGCTGCAAGCTAACGTGAAGACGAGTGTGCAGAGCAACGTTGTCTCTGCCCACGACTCAGAGGCGAGTTGCTAATGATCCACTGGAGCTCTGCAGAAGAAGAAAAAAACCTTGAAAATGGTGATTTTTGGTAAAAACTTTATAATCACAATTTAAAGACCACTGATAACACATGAAGTAGTAAAAAAAACATTCGGAGTGGGACTTTGAGTGGACTTGTAAATAGTCGGTGTATCTTTGCCCATTTGTTGAGCAAACAGCTGTGCAGAATTGAGTCATCTTTACTACATAACTGGGCTACTTTGAGTCAGCTTGACCCAAATTCCAATATAAGTGTAGATGAAAGAAAATGCATGTGTTGCATCCTCAAAAAAGTACAGATTTTTTTCTTTAAATTATTATACTATCAGTACACTAACATAAATGCTGTTTTTTTTGGTTGGACTTCTTAAAACAAGCATAATAATGGTATATAATTGACTCTGGTTGGTAACTGGCAAAGCTGTTCAAGGCTCAGCTTCCATGTGGGATCTCTGGTCATATATTAAACAAAGAGGAAGCCTCACTGATCTCCTGTGGGAAATGCAGTTGATATTTACAAGTATTACTACACCACTGAAACTCAGAGTAACCCTTTAATGCATGTTTAAGTGCTCCAGCTGGTCTATGTTTATTAGAAAAAAGCTCTAAGATCACTGTTTTTGTCTTTTGAAGAAAGATTATTGATGGCTATTTTTAACTCTATGTGTGAAGTTTGACTCTCCCAGAAGCACATTATAATTCTATCCTACATTCAAACTTTCATGTTACATTGTAAACTAACTCACATGTACTGTACATATACAGTATATAAGCATGTGGTTCATTTGTCTTCCACTCAGTGTTTCCTCATTTAGTCCACATGCAGATGTCGTGTTTCCGTGGTGTGAGGGAGTGGAGCCGCCTGAAGCAGGGCCTGTGTCTGCTTAGCACATTGACTCAGCAGGGTCACAGGTTCATTGGCTCAGGTTCAGCTCCCTAACAGCCTTTTCAAATCATTAAGTAATGAAGTGGGTGCCATTCAAATATAAATGCATCCACAAGCCAGGACCCTTTCATGTTTCAACCATAAATACTGTTGGATTTTCCTCTGAGCCAATACACCTATCAAAGCCTTTTCCAACATCTGCTATCCTGCTAAAAAAAAAAAAAAAAGTGCAGGACTTTGGGCCAACTGCCGTAGTTGTGCACCTAAGTGTTTAAGTGTTTCATAACACAAGAGATACAAGGTAGTTATGCTTACTTTTTTTAATTTGTTAATTGATTATTGCCTAATCTGTGAGAGATCCTGGCTCATAGCCCCTGTGTGTGCTGTGGTTGGGTTTGGGGGAGATGAAAACACACAAAAACATGCATACGGACACACAGAAAGATAAGCATACCCACAGATGTAAGTCCCCAGATACCTACTGATTATTGTGAATGGAGCCACCGCTGACCTTGGCTCAGTGAGCTCCTTCCCTCTCCATCCACCTCTCTTTGCCTCTCTCGCTGGAGTGGCCCCTGGCCCGCAGCTTATTGGGGGGCCTGGAGCCAGCTTCCCATCTCAGACAGGCCCTAATCTGGGAGGCAAATGATAAGGCTGAGGTTTACAGGAGGGGCTTTGCACATTCACCAAAATTTGCATTTAAAGGCCCTCAAGTAATCTTTGGGCTTATTTAAATCTCAGCAAGACACAAGCAGGAGAGACGTAGGGGGAGAAATACTGCACATCCACCTCCAGTGCTCCTTCTTTCCCATGGCACACCAAATCCCCGCTATAAATGAGCCAGGATTGCTTTGGCGTCCTCACAGCAGCCCGTCTCTTTACTATAAATGGCATTTAATGGACTTAGATTTTTCCTCCTTTTTATCCGATAAATAAAAACTACCATGTGGGACAAAAGCTCCAGCCACCACCATAAAGCAGTTGGAAAATAAAGCCATTCTTGCCAGAACAAATACAGAGCTATTGACATGCAATTGGCTGAGCGGGAATAGATTTTTTGCTCACTTGTTTGTTTGCTGTAAGGTTGTTTAACATGAGTGGGTTTTGAATATGTAATTTTTCAAGCACGTTCCATTCATGCGATTATAATAAGTAGGAAAAAAAAAAAACACATGCTTAAGCTTTAAGTTTATGACCACCTAAGCAAGACAATATTCAAATACAGGTCTTTTATTTTTCTCTTATTTTGAAACCCCCCCCCAAAACTCACTTCACTGCATTGTTTGTTGTTCTATCTTTTTAAAACTAGTCAGAATTATTCATTACATGCAAAGACAAAATATAAAAAAAGAACAATAAGAAAAACACCAAGCAGTAGCTAGGATTCTGTCCTAGTTTTTGTTGTGTGCATATTTACCGGCTATAGTAGGAACTGTATTGCTGTCAGCATATCTACTAGTTTACCGGCATCCCATCCTGTGCAGTATGTTCACCATAACAGCACAATGCTTCTGCTCAGCCAATTCGCGTCAGCATCAGGGGGTTATTTTCAGTGTGGGATTGTACGGTGCATCCTACACATCCAGAAGGGATTTGAAACATTAATCCTCACCTTTCCGACTGAATGTATGTAATTTGGTTTGACAAACACCAGCCCTACAGGGACGTTTTCTTCATTAATACTTGACAATGTGCCTTGCGTCTCAGGCCTGAGGAGATGTAGTGGTGTGACGGACGAGAGCATTAAAGTGACCCAGATTCAATCTTTCTTCCTTTACTTGTGAGCTTTTAACACTTAGCATTGCACCTGTGATATGAAATTCAGTTGAGAAAGCAACAATGATGGGGTGTTAACAGCCATTACAAGTGGCCACACAGACGAGCCACGATCTGATGATCCTCTCGGTCGGCCACGCGCACTAAAATATTCAGGAGGGCTGAGAGGTGTTTAGGACCAGGTTTTATTCACTTTGAGAAGTGACAACCTTGTATTAGCCAACAGTTTACGATGGTTGTCTGTTTCAAGTAAATGAAATGTACAGTTAGCTACTGTTATTTGAAGAAAAGCTAATTTTCTCTTTAAGCTCCAGATTCTGGTTAATGAAAATGCCTCCAACTCTGATCTGGGAAAAACAGACTTATCTGTCTTAAGTAAATATATAGTTTGCTATAATGTACAGTAAGCTACTGTTATTTGCAGAAAAGCAGATTTTCTTTCTAAGCTTCAGATTCTGGCTAATGAAAGAAGTGACAACCTTGTATTAGCCAACAGTTCCCGATGGTTGTCTGTTTCAAGTAAATACGAAAGGTTTGTTGTAATGTACAGTAAGCTACTGTTATTTGTAGAAGAGCAAATCTTCTTTCTAGGCTCCAGATTCTGGTTAACGAAAGTGCCTCCAACTCTGATCTGGAAAAAAACAGACTTATCTGTCTCAAGTAAATATATAGTTTGTTGTAATGTACAGTAAGCTACTGTTATTTGCAGAAGAGCAGATTTTCTTTCTAAGCTTCAGATTCTGGCTAATTAAAGTGCCTCCAGCTTTGAACTGAAAAAAAAAAAAAACACACACATCATAAATCACAAACACTGTATGTTCATGAGGCAGTTTCTTCTAATGTGAGATTTCCTTACCATGCAGAGGAGAATAAACTGCAGAAGACAATAGAAATGGCAAAACCTCACCGTGTACACTTCAAAATATCAATAAAACAACAGTAAAGCATTCAGGGAGGCTAAATCTGATATCATATTTAATATTCTGCCTGATGTTCTCTTTTGCATAACCCGATCCACAGCCTGCAGACAGGTCAAATCAAGCTCATGCATATAAAAGCTGTTGCCCCGGGCAAAGATTTAACCAGCTTGGATGAGTCCCCAGGCTGGGTGTAGTGAACAAAATCCACCTTTGCTGCCATTGTAGCTCCCAGAAATATGAGAAGATGCAAGAAAAAGAAGAGATCTGGACAGGGCCCTCCCATTACCCCACCCTCTCCATCTCCATCTATGAGAGTAACCGTTAAAGCTCGGCTCCTTCAGTCAAGTCACACTATGGAGATCCTGCTCACTCTTCCATGCTGCAACCACTTCCTACCGGCTCTAAACAATGCAGACTCCATTTGGGCCGCTGTAATGGCTGACTGCTTGACATAACCCTTGTCAGTGAGAGCTGAGATAGGTGACACTTGACAGATGTGTAATTGCTGGAAGAGCTCACTGACAGGTGGATGAGCTTAAAGACACCTGATATGCTTCTGAGGCTGTTGACGCAGGGGGGGGATTACACTTTAAGCAGAGCTGGATTCCCTGGATGTTGTTGCTTTTTTTTTTTTTCCCCTGCATGCTTCAAGATAGAAAAAAAAATGCTCGGGTAATATATTCAAGTGAAATTGGTTTGATTTGTTTGAGCCAAGATATGAGCCAAGCATGACAGTGAGAAAGGTTAAGTCTCCTGCAATAACCCTCATTTAAGACATCCAGATGTATATTCACGGCAGGGTAATGTATGGCTCTGGCATCATCGGAGGCGGCTTGTAAAGCCTGCGTCTGAAGCGTGATAGCTTTCCCTCTCGGGTCAGCCCAGGTGAGGTGGGTACCAGAAGCCCGAGATAACACTCCGCCCCTATAAAAGACAGGAAGTGAGATAAACATTCACTCCTTGATTAGGAGTCGGGGTGTGGGCTGCCATGTGGGAGGCGGTGCAGTCATAGGGGTGGAACAGTGAGATGTGGATGAGGGCGTATGTGTGTGCGGGGAGGGTTGTGTTTTATGTGTGGGGCTGTAATGCAAATCAATGATCTCCTCTAGTGCAGAGCAGAACAGCACAATGCCTGCACACCTGTCCATCATTCAACATCTCCTGTTCCACCTCTTGAAGCTGGGTGCAAAGAAAAAAAATCGCTTTAGCTCACAGTCGAAGGGTTGAATGCAGGGGAGGAGGGGTGCAGAGGAGTCGTGCTTAGAAGCCCAGACATTCACTTTTCTTTCTCCTTTTTCTGAGAAGACCATGTTATTAGAAGTGCAGTTACCAAATTGGGAGGAGGGAGACCGATGCTTTTGGATGTGACCTCAATTGCACCGGCACACTATCTCCACCAAAGTCTCATTTCACCCAGAAAGAGAAGAAGAGAAATTGACAATATCTTTTGTACCATCATGCATAGACAGAGTATAGAGATTTAGTGATGATATACGGTGGTTGGTGGCTGTAGCTGCACCCAAGAAGCTCAGCTCAGTTCACTTGGGGTATTTTCACTTATAATTGGGCTAGCTTTCATCTTGCCTGCCAAAAGGCGTAGCAGCGAAGAAGAGCACCAAGAGGGAGCTATCACTTCCCCTATTTCCTGGCCCCAGACAAAGGCACCCAGGCAGGCAGCCTGCTGAAGATGATGTATTTCTGATCAAAGAGCCTGGAGTTGTCAGCAGCCCGGGCCTAGCGCAGCAACCTGATTGCTCCTGGATAGATTTGTCCCTTTGATCAGAGCAGACTCTGACTGCAGGCGCTGTTTATGCAAAGAAAAGACGGCTGAGTGAAATCTACTCGGTGTTGTGTGGAAACAGGCGTCAGGGTTGGGGGAAGGACTTTAGCTTGGGGATATGTTGGTTCACACAATAATACAAGATGATATCTGTTATAATTACAGCTAATGAGATAACATTGCAAAAAAAAAAAAAAAGGGTTTTGGCAACTTGTTGCAGTGGTGATTTTTGCGCTGACAGCAAAACTTGTATGTTACCCTAGAACTGATAAAATGATATGTCTGATTACAACCACTTACACAAGATATAAGGGTAAGATAATGTAATAGATTTGAACATGTGGTACTTTTACAAAATGATCAGCTAGTTACACTGTGCAAACATCTTACACTTAATGCAAATAACCACCGGCTATGAATTTATGTGGACTTGGAAAGGCCCATAATTTTTTCATCCTATATTGATGTAAATTCTCCTGGCTAGTGTGAAGATTGGTGCTATAAATGTGCTACAAAAGAAATATTAATGCCATCAGTCTAAAGGAATGTACCTACAAATCCCTCTGTGACCCCAGCCATGTTTTGTCTGAGGAGAACAGTCTTGTGCTGGGTTACACGAGTTCAAACATGAGAATGTCAAACACACTTGACTCTGAAAGAGTCCAGGGAGGTTATGACAGGGTGAGAATCAGATGGTAAGAAAAAGAAACGTTTTTTTTTTCTTCTTTTTTTTATTTGGAGGGTTAATTTTGCATTTCACTCGCTTAAATATTGACGTGACGTCCAATTGGCTTGTCCCAATTCCCAGCATGCAATATTATTTAATGCATACTGTTAAAAGAGCTTCAGTAGAATAAATTCAAGTGCTAATTTTAGTGTACAAAGACTAAGAGCAGAATTGTTTACATCCCTTTAAAACTGTCCTGGCAGTATTTACATAAATACATATTTAATTGTGGTTGTCAAAATATCCCTTGAAAGACACAGAAGTATAAAAGCAATAGTCAACACAACATTTGTCTTGTTTTTCTCTCCCTCACTCCTGCATATTGGATAAGTTCAGGTCAG